GGATCATAACACATAATAGGTGAATATAGACTTGCAAGATAGGATCAAGAACTCACATATATTCATGAAAACATAATGGGTTCAGATCTGAAATCATGGCACTCGGGCCCTAGTGACAAGCATTAAGCATAGCAAAGTCATAGCAACATCAATCTCAGAACATAGTGGATACTAGGGATCAAACCCTAACGAAACTAACTTGATTACATGGTAAACCTCATCCAACCCATCACCGTCCAGCAAGCCTATGATGGAATTACTCACGCACGGCCGTGAGCATCATGAAATTGGTGATGGAGGATGGTTGATGATGATGACGACGATGAACCCCCCTCTCCGGAGCCCCGTATGCACTCCAGATCAGCCCTCCCGAGAGAGTTTAGGGCTTGGCGGTGGCTTCGTATCGTAAAACGTGATGAATCTTTCTCTCTGATTTTTTTCTCCGCGAACGTGAATATATGGAGTTGGAGTTGGAGTTGAGGTCGGTGGAGGTCCAGGGGGCCCACGAGGCAGGGGGCGCGCCCTAGGGGGGTGCCCCCCACCCTCATGGACAGGGTGTGGGCCCCTTGACATTGATTCTTTCGCCAATATTTTTATTAATTCTAAAAAGTTGCTCCGTGGATTTTCAGGTCATTCCGAGAACTTTTATTTCTGCACAAAAATAACACCATGGCAGTTCTACTAAAAACAACGTCAGTCCGGGTTAGTTTCATTCAAATGATGCAAGTTAGAGTCCAAAACAAGGGCAAAAGTGTTTGGAAAAGTAGATACGACGGAGACGTATCAGTGACCCACATGCAAAGATACTAGAACGGCAACGCGCCTTGGTGTGAGGGTGCCGGTCCAATTGATATGGCCAAGTAGTGGAGATCAAACCGCATGATGCATTAGTAGGAAAGCAAGTTTAGCACATGTAACAGGACAACTTAATCAAAGAGGTGCTGCTTGCCGAAACCCAACCCCCTTGTGTGTGTGTGTGTGTGTCTATTAAGGATCAAAATGCAAAGACTATATTAGGATGGAAATGTATCAACGAATTAATTAAAAAGCTCAATGATCAAACCTCTTATATAGCTGGTTTGAGCCACGAAATCTAAAACAATATAGTAGTGCAATGTTCGACGCTGAAAGTAATTCATCAGATATTTGACCTCGTGAATTGTTCAAAACAATAAATACGTGCAGCTTGTTGCACCCCCACCAGGTGTAGCCATACCCAACCCGCTAACCAAGCAAAATACAACAAGCATGATACCTATGAGGTGCTAGAGGAATATTTAGATAGTTATGATGGCTGTCAATTCTGATGGGCCACTGACCAAAGGGTTATAGGCATTTCATATCAAATAAGTAGCAATAACAAGTAATAATCCAGGTTATGTAGACACAAAGGATAGATACTTGATGTATTACAGGAAATGCGGCATGATAGAATAGGATTAGGAGTACATAGGATTCATAATAATTAGACCAGGTCATTTGTGCATATAGATGAAGCATTCAGTAGTGCATCAGGGGAGAAAATAACACAAAAATATCGAAGCAAACCGTTCATACAGAAACCAGCAACAATCACATAAGATACCATGATTATCCTGGCATTGCATACATAAGTTTGCATCCATCCCCTTCATCTTCTAGACGAACAGGGTACATGCAGTAGAACAACAAAAGTCTATCATAGACACCAACATAAGTATTGTGTTTTCGTGGACAACATAACAACATCAGCCAACCAGAAGTGCCAAATACAGAAATAAATGTATGCCAACCAACATGACGTGACATAATCAGAGCTAGCAGAGAAACCAGACACTGTTGTAGACCATCCGAAGCTACGCCTCCATAGCCAAAGATCACTCCTATGAGCATCGATATTGGCCAAGGGCAGGGCCATCACCACACAACGCTGCAAACCTGAAGATCATGGAGAAACAAATATGAATCAGGAACAAAGCATCTCGATCAAATGCAAATTAAAAGACCCTTGTATCCATCTGAGTCAGTTTTTAGATGACAAACAATAAACCATGGCAACAACCATAGGCCAGGAAATATCATCAGTCATTCCTTTATCTTACCATGGAAGCATCATATATCATCGATCTATATTGTAAGAACTATGTATAAGAATGAGAACTGGAGTTATACCCTTTTGCGGTAGTGAAGCAGGGAGGCTGACATGGAGGCCGAGGAAGCCATAGAGGCAGTTATAGATGACGCCGTGTATGTCGATCGTCCACTCAACCTCTGTCTCCACCAACACCTCTTGCAATGACTCTTTCCTCATCCATGCACACAATCGAATCCATGAAGGAGAGAAGACCGAGGTGAGATGGGCTCGGGACCATCATAAAGAAAATGGAAGTTGGAGGGTTTGATACCTCAGAGGCCAAATGTGCCTCAATGGCAGCTCCACCCGCATCAGCATGGTCACGAAAACACAGATAATTGCCCGCACATCTTATTGCCACCTTTATTGTGCCTCATACCTAGCTGAAGTTCCTGATAATTGTTTGCTAGAAACCGTCTTGTTATCCTGGGAAAGTATAAGCAGAACACAAGAACATGAATAAAGTTGAAAACTTTAAATGCACATATGACATTTAATTAAGCAAAACATTATTAGTTATAATAGAAGGAGATAAAGAAAGTCAAAATCCTGTCATTATTTAAACTGAATATGTTTAAAGTCCCTATCTGATTTAGACTAAGAAGGAGAACATCAGATACAACTAATAAAGCAAACAACCATAAAGATTTTTAAATTGCCAAACTTTACAGAAAGAAGAATCAGACTATTTAATATCTAATAGATGTGGAGCAACTGAGCATGTCAACCAGAATTAAACCAACTGTCTCGCTAAGATTTTAAATTGGGTTAATTGGTTAAGCATCTTTTAAGTTGAATGATAGTATGATGCTAAACAGAACATGTTTTTTAGAATACATATTGAATAATATAAACTGAATTTCAACTTGGATCATCCAATATTAACACATACAGTATTTTTCTACTTGCAATATAATTGTACCAAACCACAAGTATTCTTCGATTTGGATATACATGGGACCAGAAAACATAACTAAAACTGCACCAATGATATGACAACTACGACAACCAAAAAGATTCCATAAGACATAACAATTTGTACATGAGGGGCAATTCATGCACACTGCAAAGAAAAGTCCTTGAGACTTGATTGAATAATATAACTAAATTTCAACCTGAACAACGCTTCCATCTCATTCATTGAGACTTGATTTAATTTTAGAAAAAGAAACCCAAACAGTGGTAAGAATAAATTGGGAGGATGAGCTCACATGAAGAGGTGCAAGCTAAGAGAGGATACCACGATGGGAGGCGCAGGCCTTCGGTGACCTTCACAGGAGCAGGGTAGTAGACTTCTGTCATCAGTGGTGGATCTCAATCTGGACAAAGCATCTACCATTTAAGATTCAAACTCGTGTCAAAAAATGGTTGGATAATAATCTGGTGGCCAGGAAATTTTTTACGGCAATTGCTTCGATATTAGTCCAACCACAAGGGTGGCAAAATACATTTGGTTTAATTAAATTCTTTCTAATATAAAACATGCTCACTTCAATTATTTTGGCAGCTCCAGCTAGCTACAAGAAGAGTAGCAGAATCTTATGGCAAACACTACATGCATCTCATGATCAATAAGAGTGAACAGTTGGATGGCACTTATAATCCCCTAGACTCATAATATCATAAGATAACTATTACAAAATGAGATGCAACAATGGCATCATTATGAATCCAATTTCAGATGAGAAACAATAAAAAAGAACTCCCAGGAAAATGTTTATGATAAGTAATAAGGAGCATGTACATTTGCCTTTTGCCTCAGTGTCTCTCCCTATCCGGACAAAACTCTCAGGATCTATTACACACTGATAAACCCCATGTTTAATCACATAAGGTATAGAAATATAAACAGATGGACATTGGACTTATTCAGCATGCTGACCAAACTTTAATAAACACTACATTAACACATGTCATGTTGCAGCATAGGCATTATAGTAGACACGTAAGCACGACACCAACTGCGACCAATGCATCATGTAAATAGTAACCTATAGGGCCACCACAACAGGAGAGAAAATCAGAAACTACCTGAATCCATGGTTGACAATGGCATTCTTCCTTGAATTCAGTGTGCTCCAACCACTAGCCACACACACTGCTGACCAAACCTCGCAACCTGGTCAATCTGGCAGGATTGGCCATGCCCAAGGAGGTCGTGGATGCTGCAACTGGCTCTGCTCTAACGCCCCGCCTGCTCCAACTCCACCCTCACAAGAACTGAATGCTGGAAGAAATTAGTCAGTTCAAACTTGAATCCCTCCAAAAATGGTTGCATGCTAGAGGATATCAGACCTTGAAAGTCATGCCAACCACAAGCTTCACAGCAAGAGACCTATAAAGGAGCTCAGGAGCCTGGCAAATGAAAAAGGCTTTCATCATAATAGAACACATTGAGTAAGACACGAGATCTATATATCTTTGTTATAGTTATTTTATCAAACCAAGTAACAAAGTAGCATTCTCTTGCTAAATGCATGAAAACTAAGAGGCTATTGAAAGTCATCCATGTTTAGATTAGAGATAGCCGCACTGAGATATATTTTGGTGGGGTCAAATAAGAAAAATATCAATATATCAATGCAAGTCACAAAAAAGGGGATTAGCATGTGCTTCTCACCAATATCAGCATAGATGTGGTTGCCCATGCCAAGAAACAACATGGATGTGGTTGTCTCAATTGAACTTAGGCACAAGCTTCTCACCAATCTCAGCATAGATGTTAGACCTGCCAAGAAACAACAAACATCAATTACCAAGAAGCAAAGGCAGGAGAAAATTACAGACAACATAGGGCACGGTATCTAGAGAAGCCATGTACCTACACATCCAAAAGGACCATGTCAGTGTGTTTGATAGGACCATTATCAGTGGATCCACAATGCTGCTACAAACGCGAAACATACACACAGATGGTCAGGTTCTTGTTCCCCACAACAAGAGCCTGCAGATCAGTCATCGCCATCTACAACAAAAGTATCAGCACCAAAACACAACTTCACCGTTAAACTCAGTAAATCTCTATGACATAAACCAAACCGCGGAATATATAAAGCCAATCCCAATACACGCAAACATCCAAAATATCACCCCCATCGCATGGGATGACATATTTATTCAGCCAACACTATATGTCACCACCCAAAATATCACCCAACTCACAAAAGCATGCCAAAACCTACCAAAATGAAGACTACCATCATACACAAAACTTAGTCATCCCCGCGGCCCGAAGAACTCAGGAAAAACAATGTTCTTGGTCTCAGAGCCGCATTTGCCATCAGCATCTAATATAATGATTTTCAAAGAAACCCTCGACGTAACACGAGACACTGCCACATACAGCTGCCCGTGCATAAAAACATGACCCTTAAGATATATACCAACACCAGACAGGGTCTGTCCCTGGCTCTTATTAATTGTCATGGCATAACACACACGAATGGGAAACTGGCGACGTCTAAGCACAAAGGGTGTATTTCCCTTATTTGCCAATAATTCAATCCTGGGGATATAAACAGTATCACCCACATGTGAGCCAGTCATAATGACAGCTTCGATAAGCCGATCACCTAATTCTTTTACAATTAGTCGTGTACCATTACACAAACCATTTTCCTGGATCAGGTTTCTAAGAAGCATAATCGAAACACCAACCTTAAGAGTCAGCCTATGATTTGGGAAATTTATAATTTTAGTTGCATTCAGGTACTCGACTGGATAGTAAACATCTATGTCCCTAACAAAATCCGAAGAATCATCAATAGAATCAGCACTCAAATAGTCTCTGCTATCATTAGGAACCAATGAAAGAATGTGATCATTAATATCCTCAACATGGTCATTGGTAGGGGCTAAAATGGCTCTCTCTTGAAAGTAACCAGAGTTCATGTAGTTATGCAAAAAATCACCATAGACAGAAGAAACAATAGCAACTATTGGATCACCAGACGTACAAACCAAGAGGTCATCCAATATATGTATCCAAGAAGCCTCGACCTCATCGCCTCGCCTTGTGACAGGCAACTTCCCTTCCCCAAGATCTAGCACCCATCTGCTAAATAAGGCAACATCCTTCTGCGCCTGGGTATCCGCGCCATGCACACCCAAGCGTATGTTAATAGAAATCAACAATTTTTTAACAGAATGCAATAGCGGAGAATTCGTGATTGCTGCGTCAATGATCTGAGGCCTAGTACCTCCCTCAATGACCGGTAATATTTGTCTAAGGTCACCACCCAAGACCATCACTACTCCACCGAACGGAATATCAGCAAGATCTGGATTAGCCACAGAGAGGACATCACGCAAAGTTCTATCTACAGCCTCAAAGCATTTCCTGTGTGTCATCAGCGCCTCGTCCCAAATAACAAGCGAAGATACCATCAACAACTTACAAAGCTTAGAGCCTCTTTTAATATCAAACTGTGTATTATCTTCAAGAAGAATAGGTATCTTAAAGCGAGAATGATGATGTCTACTACACAACCTTCTTCTTGTAGACGCTATTGGGCCTCCAAGTGCAGAGGTTTGTAGGACAGTAGCAAATTTCCCTCAAGTGGATGACCTAAGGTTTATCAATCCGTGGGAGGCGTAGGATGAAGATGGCCTCTCTCAAACAACCCTGCAACCAAATAACAAAAAGTCTCTTGTGTCCCCAACACACCCAGTACAATGGTAAATTGTATGGTGCACTAGTTCGGCAAGGAGATAGTGATACAAGCGCAATATGGATAGTAGATATAGGTTTTTGTAATCTGAAAATATAAAAACAGCAAGGTAGCTAATGATAAAAGTGAGCGTAAACAGTATTGTAATGGTAGGAAACAAGGCCTAAGGTTCATACTTTCACTAGTGCAAGTTCTCTCAACAATAATAACATAATTGGATCATATAACTATCCCTCAACATGCAACAAAGAGTCACTCCAAAGCCACTAATAGCGGAGAACAAACGAAGAGATTATGGTAGGGTACGGAACCACCTCAAAATTATCCTTTCTGTTCTATCTATTCAAGAGTCCGTAGTAAAATAACATGAAGCTATTCTTTCCGTTCAATCTATCATAGAGTTCATACTAGAATAACACATTAAGAAACAAATCAACCAAAACCCTAATGTCACCTAGATACTCCATTGTCACCTCAAGTATCCGTGGGCATGATTATACGATATGCATCACACAATCTTAGATTCATCTATTCAACCAACACAAAGTACTTCAAAGAGTGCCCCAAAGTTTCTACCGGAGAGTCAAGACAAAAACGTGTGCCAACCCCTATGCATAGGTTCATGGGCGGAACCCGCAAGTTGATCACCAAAACATACATCAAGTGGATCACGTGAATATCCCATTGTCACCACAGATAAGCACGGTAAGACATACATCAAGTGTTCTCAAACCCTGAAAGACTCAATCGGATAAGATAACTTCAAAGGGAAAACTCAATCCATTACCAGAGAGTAGAGGGGGAGAAACATCATAAGATCCAACTATAATAGCAAAGCTCGCGATACATCAAGATTGTATCACCTCAAGAACACGAGGGAGAGAGATCAAACACATAGCTACTGGTACATACCATCAGCCCCGAGGGTGAACTACTCCCTCCTCGTCATGGAGAGCGCCGAGATGATGAAGATGGCCACCGGTGAGGGATCCCCCCTCCGGCAGGATGCCGAAACGGGCTTCTGAGAGGTTTTTGGTGGCTACAGAGGCTTGCGGGGGCGGAACTCCCGATCTATTGTTCGCTTCGATGTTTTTAGGGTATATGGGAATATATAGGCGAAAGAAGTCGGCCGGGGGAGCCACGAGGGGCCCACGAGAGTGGAGGGCGCGCCCAGGGGGGTGGGCGCGCCCCCCTATCTCGTGGCCTCCTTGAAGCTTCCCTGGCTTGCACTCCAAGTTCCCTAGATTGCTTCTGTTCCAAAAATAAGTTTCCCGAAGGTTTCATTCCGTTTGGACTCCGTTTGATATTCCTTTTCTTCGAAACACTGCAATAGGCAAGAAAACAGCAATATGGGATGGGCCTCCGGTTAATAGGTTAGTCCCAAAAATAATATAAAAATGTATAATAAAGCCCATAAACATTCAAAGCAGATAAATAAATAGCATGAATGCTTCATAAATTATAGATACCTTGGAGACGTATCAGTATCCCCAAGCTTAATTCCTGCTCGTCCTCGAGTAGGTAAATGATAAAAGAAAGAATTTATGAAGTGTGGATGCTAGTAGGTGCACAAGTTTGATCAATGATAATTTCAATCACCTTTTCTACCATGATTATACGTCATAACAGTAGTTCATCTCATAAAATTTCTCAAGATCAAGTAACAAGCTATTCTCATGTTAAAGCATAGACCATAAGCTTTCTTGAAAACTATCAAACTTCATTCTCAGTCATCAAACAATTACAATTCATCTTATTTTCAGGAAGGGTCTATGTCAGAGCTTTGATTTAGCAAACTCCACATACTCAACTATCATATAGTCTTCTGCAATTGTAACACTCACGCAATACTTATGGTTATGGAGTTTTAATCGGATATTAAGAAAGATAGGGGCTTATAGTGTTGCCTCCCAATGTATTCACCTTTGGGTGATGTCAACAATAATAGTTCATGCTAACTTACATCCAATTGGATATATATATATCAGGATCTTTCCAACACGAGGTGCTTGCCAAAGGATAAAATGAAAAAGGGAAAGGTGAAGATCACCTTGACTCTTGCATAAAGTAAAAGACATAAAGTAAAAGATAGGCCCTTCGCATAGGGAAGCAGGGATTTGCAGAGGTGCCAGAGCTCGATTTTGAAATAGAGATAAATAATTTTGAGAGGTATGATCTCATTGTCAACATAACAACCAAGAGTTCCCAATATCTTCCATACTACATACATTATAGGCGGTTCCCAAACAGAATGGTAAAGATTTTACTCCCCCTCCACCAACAATCACACTCCACGGCCATCCGAAACAACGGGGTACCGTCCATACCAACAACAGTCCTGGGGGAGTTTTGTTTGCAATTATTTTTGATGTGATTTTGATCTTTTGATCATGGGACTGTGCATCCCGGTTACCAGCCATTTTTCTCGTGAATGATGAGCGGAGTCCACTCATCTTGAGAATAACCCACCTAGCATGGAAGATACTGACAGCCCCTAGTCGCTACATGAGTGATTCGGGCATACAAAACAGATTATTATTTGAAGGTTTAGAGTTTGGCACATGCAAATTTACTTGGAACAACAGGTAAATACCGCATATAGGTAGGCATGGTGGACACTGATGGCAAAAACTGGGTTTAAGGATATTTGGAAGCACAAGTAGTATCTCTACTTGGTGCAAGGAATTTTGGCTAGCATGAGGGGGAAAGGCAAGTTCAACATGTTTGAATGATCTATGACAATATACTTTAACTGAGATGTGAGAAAACATAACCCATTATGTTGTCTTCCTTGTCCAACATCAACTCTTTAGCATGTCATACTTAATGAGTGCTCACAATTATAAAAGATGTCTAGGATAGTATATTTATATGTGAAATCTCTCTTCCTTCAATATTCTTTCATGAATTGTTCAAATGACCAATACAATGCTTGCTACAACCTCTACTTCTTAGATGTGAAGTCATTACTCCCCATGGGATAAGCAAATGAAACATATATAATTTCAGATTTATGACATTCAACTCATTCAACCATTTACTCATAGGATATAAGTGAATCACACGAGTAAATGACAAACTACTCCAAAAAGATATAAGTGAAGATCAATGAGTAGCTAAATAATTATGTAACTATGTGAAGACTCTCTCTCATATAAGAATTTCAGATCTTAAGTACTTTATTCAAACAGCAAGCAAAGCAAAATAAATGATATTGCAAGGATAGAACAACTCATGTGAAGAAGCAAAAACTTAGGTTCAACCGATACTAACTGATAGTTGTTGAAGAAGAAAGGTGGGATGCCTACCGGGGCATCCCCAAGCTTAGATGCTTGAGACTTCTTGAAATATTATCTTGGGGTGCCTTGGGCATCCCCAAGCTTGACTTTGTGTCTCCTTAATTCCTCTCATATCATGGTTTCTTCTTTTTATCAAAAGCTTCATCCACACCAAACTCAACAAAAACTCGTGAGATAGGTTAGTATAAACCAATGCAAAACCTTATCATTTTCTACTCTAACTAATCACTAAAATTATTATTCAACATTTCATACTAAATGCCTTTGCATATTTAATACTCCTATCCTCAAATAGAATCATTAAACAAGCAAGCATATACAAACAATGCAAGCATAACAGCAATATGTCAAAACAGTATAGTCTGTAAAGAATGTAAAAGTCATCATGTTTCCCTAACTCCAAAAATTATGAGAAAAATAGCTTACTGTAGAAGATTTATCAGAGCTCATTATGCAAAAGGTTTCAACATTATATCATTCTCTGACTTTTCTAGGGAATTTTTGCAACAGAGGTAAACTTTCTGTTTTCAAACAGCAACATGTATACTAGCAAAATAAGCAAGGTAAAGGCTATCCTTGACATTTTTATTGAAACTAAAGATGCAAAATATTATTCTAAATAACAACAAGCAAATACTAACAAGAGAAAATGACGCTCCAAGCAAAACACATATCATGTGGTGAATAAAAATATAGCTCCAAGTAAAGTTACCGATAGACGAAGACGAAAGAGGGGATGCCTTCCGGGGAATCCCCAAGCTTAGGCTCTTGCCACTCCTTATTCCATAGTCCATCGAATCTTTACCCAAAACTTGAAACTTCACAACACAAAACTCAACAGAAAACTCATAAGCTCCGTTAGTATAAGAAAATAAAACCACCACTTAGGTACTGTAATGAACTCATTCTAAATTCATATTGGTGCAATATCTACTTTATTCCAACTTCTCTATGGTTCATACCCTCCGATACTACTAATAGATTCATCAAAATAAACAAACAACACATAGAAAACAGAATCTGTCAAAAACAGAATAGTCTGTAGTAATGTGTATCAAACGTATACTTCCGAACTCCAAACAATCCGACCAAATTAGGAAGTCCTAAGAAATTTATGTACCAATCGAGAGCAAAAAGAATCAGATCAGAAGTACGTTTCTGTGAATTACCAAAACTAATTTACTGGGTGCAAAAGTTTCTCATTTTCAGCAGGATCAACACAACTATCACCGTAAGCAATCCTAAGGTCTTACTTGGCACTTTATGGAAACAAAATCTATAAAACATGATTACTACAGTAGCATAATCATGTGGACACACAAAAACAGTAGGGGTAAATATTGGGTTGTCTCCCAACAAGCGCTTTTCTTTAATGCCTTTCTAGCTAGGCATGATGATGGCAATGATGCTCACATAAAAGATAAAAATTGAAACATAACGGGAGCATCATGAAGAATATGACTAGCACATTTAAGTCTAACTCACTTCCTATGCATAGGGATTTTGTGAGCAAACAACTTATGGGAACAATAATCAACTAGCATAGCAAGGTAAAACAAGCATAGCTTCAAGACTTTAAGCACATAGAGAGGAAACTTGATATTATTGCAATTCCTACAAGCATATGTTTCTCCCTCATAATAATGTTCAGTAGCATCATGAATGAATTCAACAATATAAACAACACCTAAATCATTCTTTTCATGATCTACAAGCATAGGAAATTTACTACTCTCCACATAAGCAAAATTCTTCTCATTCGGAATAGTGGGAGTATCATAAAAGACTTGAATACTATAAATTGTTTTCACATTAAAAGAGTAATGTTCAGAAAAAGGGTAATCATAATAATGACAAGTTTTATAAATATAATCATCACTACTCAAAGGATGTACATAATACACACGGCCAATCTTTTCACCCCCACCCCTGGATGCCATGACCTACTTTTAGCGTCCCAGGTCCAAGAAGTTGGAAATTCCCAATAAGTTAATGAGCGGGCATCTTCGAACATCTCATTCGCAACAAACCATTCGGTAAGCATAGTCTTTCGCAAGAAGTCAGAATCAACAATTTTCGTGAGGTCAGCACCAGCATGATAGTAGACAGTATTCATGCCAGGCATATGAACGGTCAGCCTTTGAACCGACGGCATTGTAAAGTGTATTTCAAACCCAAATATGCGCCACAATGCATCCTACTCACATATATACCGACATATCAGATACTCCTGAACCTCATCTACTGTACGACAACTAGATTTAATCAATGTTTTTAGCCTTTCTAACATAACCTTAGAGTAGTCAGCACCTTTGGTGACATACTTAAGGAAATATTTCACCACCTGTATCTTATTACACCACTCTGCATTTATATGTCCCTGAAATTTCTTGAGCATCGCCATATTATAAGGAACAACATGCCTATTGTCAAGGTAATGACCATTTTTATAGACCCTTCGACCGTCGTCACGACGTTGATATAAGGCAAACCCATTATCATCAATGACAGTGGTATCTCTAAAATCTTTTGGGAAATATTTGGAACAAACACCCTTTTTCATGCAGACACATTTATCATTCATTTCACCACACGGACCGTGCATCATAAACTCAGAAACTAAAGCATATCCTAGAGGATCAAGCAATGCATCAGGTATTTCAGTAGATATTAATGAATTAATATTTTCAACACCAATCTCACCGTTACCCCCTCTCCGCCAGACAAGTATATGCGTGTGAGGCAGTCCCCGCTTCTGGAACTCAACGGTATACAACACTGAAAAAAGGACATAAAATCTCAATTAGACAGCCCAGCCAATAGAAGTAAAACATCATTAAAAAAACAACGACCACACACAGAGCACAACAGTCACAATACCAACCGTAATGGGGCCAAAAGCCCGGCCTGGCTTAATCTCGTCCAAGTACTCAGTGAGCTTCATGTGATAGACCCTAACAACAATATCCGCCCTATCAGAAGGCATCTGACCTAGTTCGAATGCACTTGTGATCTCAGGCCACTTGGGATTGCAAGTGAAAGTGGTAGATATGTCAGGCGCACCATGCACCCGACAAACGGCAAGGCCATCATGGAAATTTTCATGGAAGTAACGACAGCCGCCTATGTGACTGGAAGGTACAATGGTCCTCTTCCCAAGAGCATCACCATCAACACACCCACCACCTACCGCATCAGTAATACCTTGCATGTGCTCTGATCTAAGCATGTCCTAATTTCTTATGATATACCACAGTCTACTTTCATCGATGCACGCACGTGCATCAACAACTGACTGAGAGGAGAGGAGACCATAACATATATATGGATTGGGCTGATCACCCTTGTAATGGCACATAAAACGATAGTAATCCTGCATGGTCATACTATTCCGACTATTTGTGGAAGCATCACCACCCACAGAAGGGTATGAAGAGGACGCCTCAACGGTCGGACTTCCAGGTGCAGGATTAGGATCCATAGGTCCATCGTCATCACCTTCTTTAGGAACAATCAAGTGAGGAACATCCACCTGGACCCTCTCTCTCCATAAGGGAAAAGCAATGGGTATTGTAGAGCCATGAATGTAGTGTTCAGAGAAGATATCTGCTGCAAACCGTCGGAATGACTGCAAACAACAATATCCCGAGAAGATGCCTCTAACGTGAAGCCACCACCGACAACTAAAGTAGCAAGACCAGTGGTTGTAGGCAAACTAAACTGTGGACTATTGCCTCCTCGATGGGTTCATCACCACGATCCTCTATCATCTTACTCGCCTCCCGAAAGGTCTGTACCAATGGGTTAAACTCATTAAGCATGTCTCTAAGACCAACCACAATACTCCCATCCACACCCCCAATAGGCTTATCATCTGGATTTAAGGCATTCATCCTATGACTAATCTCATTAGCTGGGTCATGTACATACAACTCAGCAAACTTAGGGGTATCATCACCGCTAGTCACCAATGAACCAATACGATGAGACACTTGCCCACTGATCTTAAAAATCTTAGGTCCACGACTGTCACCAAATGAGCGTTCAATAGTAGCACCCATCAAAGTGAAAGCGAACATACAGTTGTACTCACGTATAGTCCGGATGAATTTTTTAGCACGAGAAGTACCATCGAATCGAAGGAGCTCCCGGAGATAGGCTGGGGATCCTTAAAGGGAGGAATATATACCTTAGCGCCTTTACAACAATGATTATAAACCATCTTACGTTGTGTCCAGGATGACCTAGACTTTGAACACTCAGCAAACCAAAAGAAGGCACCACAGTATTGGGACAAGAAATCCGAAGGGTCGTAGTACGACCTATCTGCATAGCAAGCTAAACGGGCACCAAAATAGAAAACTATCAGCCACAAACCAAGGGTAAAAGGAAAACAATAATCACATAACCAAAACAACAAAGGCCTAGTTAATAAGTACCTTTAAGGGACTCAACAAACTTCACTGAGAAACCTTGCCAATCCTTTGGCAAAGGCCCTTGAACAACAATCTCTGAAAATGCACGTAAAACCAACTAAGAGACCATACGGCAAACAACAACAACTAACAACAAACCAAGAAATCTCATGCACCTTCGCATCCAGGATACCGCAATTTAATTGACACTTTCCGTTTTTCCCGTCTGTTGCAGTCTAACCCAATCACCTCCGCAATGACATAAACCAAGAAACCATGTGATGACCCACAAGTATAGGGGATCTATCGTAGTCCTTTTGATAAGTAAGAGTGTCGAACCCAACGAGGAGCAGAAGGAAATGACAAGCGGTATTTAGTAAGGTATTCTCTGCAAGCACTGAAATTGTAGGTAATAGATAGTTTTGTGATAAGATAATTTGTAACGGGTAACAAGCAATGAAAGTAAATAAAGTGCAGCAAGGTGGCCCAATCCTTTTTGTAGCAAAGGACAAGCCTGGACAATTTCTTATAATGAGAAAAGTGCTCCCGAGGACACATGGGAAATATCGTCAAGCTAGTTTCATCACGCTCATATGATTCGCGTTTGGTACTTTGATAGTTTGATATGTGGGTGGACCGGTGCTTGGGTACTTCCCTTTCTTGGACAAGCATCCCCCTTATGATTAACCCCTATTGCAAGCATCCGCAACTACAAAAGAAGTATTAAGGTAAACCTAACCATAGCATGAAACTAGTGGATCTAAATCAGCCCCTTACGAAGCAACGCATAAACTAGGGTTTAAGCTTCTGTCACTCTAGCAACCCATAATCTACTTATTACTTCCCAATGCCTTCCTCTAGGCCCAAATAATGGTGAAGTGTCATGTAGTCGACGTTCACATAACACCACTAGAGGAGAGACAACATAGATCTCATCAAAATATCGAACGAATACCAAATTCACATGACTACTAATAGCAAGACTTCACCCATGTCCTCAGGAACAAACGTAACTACTCACAAAGCATATTCATGTTCATGATCAGAGGAGTATTAATATGCATTAAGGATCTGAAAATATGATCTTCCACCAAGTAAACCAATTAGCATCAACTACAGGGAGTAATCAACACTACTAGCAACCCACATGTACCAATTTGTGGTTTTGGTACAAGATTGGATACAAGAGATGAACTAGGGTTTTGAGAGGAGATGGTGCTGGTGAATATGTTGATGAAGATTGATCCCCTCCCGATGAGAGGATCGTTGTGATGACGACGGTGATGATTTCCCCCACCCGGAGGGAAGTTTCCCCAGCAGAACAGCTCCGCCGGAGCCCTAGATTGGTTCCGCCAAGGTTCTGCCTCGTGGCGGCGGAGTTTCGTCCCGTAAGCTTGCTTATGATTTTTTTCCAGGGTAAAAGCCTTCATATAGCGGAAGATGGGCACCGGAGGGCCACCAGAGGGCCTAGGAGACAGGGGGCGTGCCCAGTAGGGGGGGCGCCCCACACCCTCCTGGCCAGGGTGTGGGCCCCCTCTGGTACTTTCTTCGCTCAATAATTCTTATTAATTCCAAAAATGGCTTTTGTGGAGTTTCAGGACTTTTGGAGTTGTGCAGAATAGGTTTCCAATATTTGTTCCTTTTCCAGCCAGAATCCAGTTGCCGGCATTCTCCCTCTTCATGATAAACTTGTAAAATAAGAGAGAATAGCCATAAGTATTGTGACATAACGTGTAATAACAGCCCATAATGCAATAAATATCGATATAAAAGCATGATGCAAAATGGACGTATCAACTGCCCCAAGCTTAGACCTCGCTTGTTGATAACCCGCAAGTATACGGGATAGTTGTAGCCTCTTTTGATAAGTAAGAGTGTCGAACCCAATGAGGAGCTAAAGGTAGAACAAATACTCTCTCAAGTCCTATCGACCACTAATACAACTCTACGCACGCTTGACGTTCGCTTTACCTAGAACAATTATGAAACAAGAAGTACTTTGCAAGTGTTGTTGGATAGAAGGTTTGCAAGATAATAAAGAGCACGTAAATAAAAGCTAGGGGCTGTTTAGATAAAGAAGCAATAAAGTAAATATTAGTAGAGAGCTTTTTGTTACGAGAAAGTTATTTGTCCAAGGCAATCGATAACTAGACCGATAACCACTATTGCAATTTTATTTGAGGGAGAGGCATAAGCTAACATACTTTATCTTCTTGGATCATATGCACTTATGATTGGAACTCTAGCAAGCATCCGCAACTACTAAAGATCATTAAGGTAAAACCCAACCATAGCATTAAAGTATCAAGTCCCCTTTATCCCATACGCAAACAACCTACTTACTCGGGTCTGTGCTTTTGTTCACTCACGCCACCCACCATAAAAAAATCATGAACATATTGCAAACCCTACAGCAGGGATCCCTCATGCTTGCGCGACAGGGAGAGCACCGTAGGACAGCACCAATAATAAAACATGCAACTCAAACCAATCATGATAATCAATTAACCCATAGGGCAAAACGGATCTACTCAAACATCATAAGATGACAACGCATAATTGGATAATAATATGAAGCATAAAGCACCATGTTCAAGTAGAGGGTACAACGGGTTGCGGGAGAGTGAACCGCTGGATATAGATGGGGGAAGGTGATGGAGATGTTGGTGAAGATGATGGAGGTGTTGGTGAAGATCGCAGTGATGATGATGGCCCCCGGCGGTGTTCCGGCGCCACCGAAAGCAAGGGGGAGAGAGCCCCCCTTCTTCTTCTTCTTCTTCTTTCTTGACCTTCTCCCTAGATGGGAGAAGGGTTTCCCCTCTAGTCCTTGGCTCCCATGGCTTGGTAGGGGCGAGAGCCCCTCCGAGATCGGATCTATCTCTCTGTCTCTCTCTATTTCTGCGTTCTTAGATCCTTCCCATTCACCGTTTCTTTTATATCTGGAGATCCGTAACTCTGATTGAGGTGAATCTTTTGCCCAGATTTTTCTCGTAAAATTAGCTTTCTTGCGGCAAAAGAAGAGCGTCCACCGCCTTACGGGTGGCCCAGGAGAGTGCCAGGTGCGCCCAGGGGGATGGGCGTGCCCCCTATCTCCTGGCCACCTCGGACACCGTTTCGCGTTGATTCTTCCTCCGGAAAATCCCAAATATTCCAAAATAATTCTCCGTCCGTTTTTATCCCGTTTGGATTCCGTTTGATATTGGGTTTCTGCGAAACATAAAACATGCAACAAATAGGAATTGGCACTGGGCACTGGATCAATATGTTAGTCCCAAAAATAGTATAAAAAGTTGTCAAAAGTATATGAAAGTTGAAGAATATTGGCATGAAACAATCAAAAATTATAGATACGACAGAGACGTATTAGCATCCCCAAGCTTAATTCCTTCTCGTCCTCGAGTAGGTAAACAATAAAAAAAAGATAATTTTTGATGTGGAATGCTACCTAGCATAATCTTGATCATATGTCTAATCATGGCATGAATATTAAGACACGAGTGATTCAAAGAAATAGTCTATCATTTGACATAAAAAACAATAATACTTCAAGCGTACCAATAAAGCAATCATGTCTTTTTCAAAACAACAAGACCAAAGCAAGCTTATCCCTACAAAATCATATAGTTTGGCCATGCTTCATTTTCGTCACACAAAATGCTCCCATCATGCACAACCCCGATGACAAGCCGAGCAATTGGTTCATACTTTTTAACGCGCTTCAGCTTTTTCAACCCTCACGCAATACATGAGCGCAAGCCATGGATATAGCACTATAGGTGGAGTAGAATGTGATGGTGGAGGTTTATGTGGAGAAGACAAAAAGGGAGAAAGTCTCACATCGACGCGGCTAATCAACGGGCTATGGAGATGCCCATCAATTGATGTCAATGCGAGGAGTAGGGATTGCCATGCAACGGATGCACTAGAGCTATAAGTGTATAAAAGCTCAACAAAAGAAACTAAGTGGGTATGCATCCAACTTGCTTGCTCATGAAGACCTAGGGCATTTGAGGAAGCCCATCGTTGGAATATACAAGCCAAGTTCTATAATGAAAATTCCCACTAGTATATGAAAGTGATAACATAGGAGACTCACTATATGAAGAACATGGTGCTACTTTGAAGCACAAGTGTAGAAAAAGGATAGTAACATTGCCCCTTTTCTTTTTCTTTTCTTTTTCTTTTTGGGTGGGCTTCTTTGGCCCCCCTTTTTTATTTAGGCTTCTTTGGCCTTTCCCTTTTTCTTATTCTTTTTTTTTCTTTTCATGGGGCAATGTTCTATAATGATGATCATCACACTTTTATTTACTTACAACTCAATATTACAACTCGATACTAGAACAAAGATATGACTCCATATGAATGTTTCCAGCGGTGTACCGGGATGTGCAATGATCTAGCGTAGCAATGACATCAAAAAACGGACAAGCCATGAAAACATCATGCTAGCTATCTTACGATCATGCAAAGCAATATGATAATAAATGCTCAAGTCGTGTATATGATGATGATGGAAGTTGCATGCAATATATCTCGGAATGGCCATGGAAATGCCATAATAGGTAGGTATGGTGGCTGTTTTGAGGAAGATATAATGAGGCTTATGTGTGATAGAGCGTATCATATCACGGGGTTTGGATGCACCGGCGAAGTTTGCACCGACTCTCGAGGTGAGAAAGGACAATGCACGGTACCGAAGAGGCTAGAAATGATGGAAAGGTAAAAGTGTGTATAATCCATGGACTCACATTAGTCATAAAGAACTCATATACTTATTGCAAAAGTTTATTAGCCCTCGAAGCAAAGTACTACTATGCATGCCCCTAGGGGGATAGATTGGTAGGAAAAGACCATCGCTCGTCCCCGACCGCCACTCATAAGGAAGACAATCAAAGAAACACCCCATGCTTCAAATTTGTCACACAACGGTTACCATACGTGCATGCTATGGGACTTGCAAATCTCAACACAAGTGTCCCTACAATCCACAACCATCCACTAGCATGACTCTAATATCACCATCTTTTAATCGCAAAACTATTGCAAGGAATCAAACATATCATATTCAGCGATCTACAAGTTTATGTAGGATTTTATGACTAACTATGTGAATGACCAATTCCTGTCATCTCTCTAAATAGATATAAGTGAAGCAAGAGAGTTTAATTCTTTCTACAAAAGATATGCCCACGCTCTAACAAATATAAGTGAAGCAAAAGAGCATTCGACAAATGGCGGTTTTCTATGTG